AAGGAAGGAAGGAAGGAAGGAAGGAAGGAAGGAAGGAAGGAAGGAAGGAAGGAAGGAAGGAAGGAAAGAAGGAAGGAAGAAAGAAAGAAAAGGCCTGCATGAAGGAATAATTTATCTTTATATCTTATTTTATTTTACTTACTTTGAGATGGAGTTTTCCTCTGTAGATCAGGCTGGCTTGCAACTTACTATGTAGACCAGTCTGACCTGGAACTTATCATGTAGACCAGGCTGGCCTGGAACTAAGAGATTTAGCTGCCTCAGACTCCCACATGCTCAAATTAAACATTTATGCCACCATTTCTAGCCACGCCTGTAATTTATCTCAGCTTTGGGGAAGAGTTAAATGTGGAGTCCATTCTGAAGGGATTAAAATTAGCATCAAATAGAATAACAAATCTCTAGATAGGTATCAGGGCTAAAAGAGAAGATACAGGATCAAGAGTCCCAGCGAAGGTGAGGTTCAGGTCTGCAATGAGAAAGAAAATAGATGAAACTTTATAATGTCTTCACTAAGCGCTAGAAAGAAAGATGCAAAAATGTGAAGGGCGTGATGGCTTACACCTTTAACCCAGCACTCAGGAGGCAGAGGCAGGCAGATCTCTGTGAGTTCAGGGATAGCCTGATCTATATATCAAGTTCCAGGGCTAGGGCTACATAGAGAGACCCTGTGGATAGAAAGATAGATAGGTTGGTAGAAAAATAGACAGACAAATGGACAGACAGACAGACAGACAGGCGGGTGGGCGGGCGGGTAGGCGGGCGGACTGGTGGGTGGGTGGGTGGGTACGTAGATGGTAAATGTATGGACGGTATAAATGAGAGCAGCAAAGAAATCCACTGATTAACTCATGAAGCTTTAAATTTCCTTTGCTTCTATTCGGTCCAAATACAAATGACAATTAACACTTAACCAAAAGTTTGGCCCGGGAGACCATCTGTCTGGAATGTATTGTAACCATTAGAAGAGAAAAGGAGATGATTAACCCCATTTCCCTAACCATATTTCCAAACACATGAACACCCAAAGAGCTGACCCTCTGGAGCTGCCCAGAGTTTGCTCGTGAGACAGGTGGCTGACAACAAACTGGTGGTTACCAACAGGTATCTTCTACTGAAAATACTCCAGGACAGAGGGATGGATACATATTCTTCAAGTTTCAAAGAACTTTTGTGAAAAAAAATTACCCCTCCTCAGAGGTCAGGCAGCAAGTTTCCCAACTTGGGACCTTCCTCAACAGTGAGACAAAAGAAAGGGTCACAGAGGGAAAATGCTAGCATGTAAGGAAAACAAACTGCCCTACCTGAGGTCTCACTGTCTTCTTCTAGAAAACTGGAGGGGACTGTCTCAGCCTCAGGAGAGGACACGGTGAAGACAGAACAGACAAGTATAGTCACCCACTGTGGAAGAAAGCAAGCTTTCCTAGAGGAAGGCACGTGATAGGTGTGGGCCCAGAAACACTTATCCAGACCTCCAGAAGTGACACCCTCACTTACCAGAAATCTGTGTATTTTCGTGATATACTTCTGTGTTCGATAGGAAGTCTGAAGTCGGATTAAAGTCCATGGTTGAATCACTGTCTGTGTACACTTTTCGAATTTTTGTTATCACTTTCTCAATTGGTGGTGGTAGCTTTCTGATTGATTTTATTAAGTTAATGACTGAATCCATTAGGCCTTCAATGTCAGCAGCTGAATTTGGTAGTTCTTCACTGGGTACGTCTAGTGGGTCATCGGTGATTGGTTCTAGAAGGTAATTGATTAGAGTCTCCTTGGTTATAACTGGTTAGATCTTGCTGATTCTGGTAGGTCTCTACTAGTGAATTCTAATGGGTGAAGTGGATTCTAAAGAAGCCCAGCAGAAAAGAACAACTCAAGTCTTTTCCAGTGCACGCCTCTGTCATCTCCACCCCTTCCTGTTCTGGGCCCTCTGTTCAAGGGACAGTATAAAGTGGCTGTTGTTGTGTGTTCCCACCAAGTCTGTCCAGCAGCTAGAGTCTCTGGGCTACCTCAGAACAGTGTGATCAGAGCCCACTCCTGCCTTTCTTGAGGAGTCAGTTGAGGACAGAGCATCTGTGTTGTGCCTCTATCTGTGTGCTGGTCAGACTAATACAAAAGAAAAATTCAAGTCTCACCTCTATAATCCTTCCAGATTTCTGAAGGCTGCAAACAAATCTACTAATGATTAAAATTTAAAGAAACCACTGGTCCTATGTATAAGCAAGAGCGGAATCAACCCTAACATGTTCCATAACAGCTACTTTTCATGTAATGCCCTATGTCCAGGACCCATTTTCAGTACATCCCAAAACACTCAGTCCTAATGTCATAGGGCTGGTTACCTACAGAACCCTCACAACCATGTGGTCTGCTGTGCACAGGGACAGGAGAACCTGTCTCTCAGGGACAGGTTCATCTCACCAATAGCAGGAACTGTCACCAGTCTCTGTCTCTCTCTCTCTTTCCCTCTTTCCCTTCCTCCCTCTCTCTTTCTCTCCCTCTCTCTTTCTCTCTCCCTCTCTCTCTCCCCCTCTCTCTCTCTCCTTCCCTCCCTGTGTATGTGTGTGTGTGTCTGTCTGTCTGTCTCTCACTGTTTCTCACTTGCCTTAATCTCACACACATGTATAGTGAGGAAGCCCATCCAGCAGCCCAAAAAGCAAGAGTCACCTAGCAAGAACAGGTGAGCAAGTGGGATCATTTTCACTCAGGTGGGTGAGCGACTCTGAGAAACTGCCTGACTTCAGAAAGAACTAGAACAAAAAGTTTGGTGGTTGTTAGATCTTTCTCTCTGGCTCTCAAGGACATATTTCTTTCCTTGCTCAACATGGTCCAAGTTTCCATTCCAGTCCCACACAGATTCACAGTCAGTGACAGAGCTGGCTGCCAATGTTCTCAGACATGACTGAAGCTCACTCTATTAAGGCGTCTTCATCTCTTTATCATAATTCAACAGATCCTATCACCTTCTTGACAACCAGTGAGGATAGCACCATCAGAACCATCTCAGCCTTTCTGCCCTGCTCTCGTTTAACCAAGCTCGTTAGCTATATTAATTCAAGTAGTAGTTAATTCAAACTCACAACCAAAATCCACAGCTCAGTCACTCAGCTGCCATTCTCGCCTAAAACAACCTCAACAGAATTATCCAGTTTCTACTTAAAACAAGTCAGTCCTTCGCACACCCATCTCCACACAAAGGCACACTCACAAACTTGAACTCCCTTCTCCAAAGGATTGCAAGGTGCACACACCTGTGGGGAAAGCCACAGTCAGAGCACACAAGCCAGCGATCACCAGCACCTTGAAGAGCATCATGTTTCAGTAGGATTAGTCCAGGAAAAACTCTGCTGGGTTTTTATACATTCTTCTGCCCTGCCCCTGAGGGTGTCTTTCCTTTCCACAGCTGACTAGAGGGGGAAAAAAAGAGGGACAGGGGTGGGTTTGGGAGGGTACCCTCATGAGCCATTAAAGAATGCACCAGGAAGGAGGTTAAGAAAAATTAACAAGGGTCAGAGGGACAGTAGAAGCCAGGCTACACTAGGAGAGAGTCTGATGAGATCCTTTGTGAGATCAAGTGCATCACCCATTGGCATTAGTTCCATTATCCTCTGAGGCCAGGGGAGAAATTCCTATTCCACCAGATGTGCCCTCCAACTCCGATAGCATGACTGCTCTTTGTCTTCTAGGATAGAGTCATTTGTCTTTTCTGACTCCCAAAGATGGCTTTGTGTGAGAAAATGGGCTGTAAATGGGCTTTGACTCTAAAGAAAAACCTCATGTAACATTAGAGTCCTGACCCAGGCAGACCCCTAAAGGAGGATAGTGGAAAGCTGCTCACTGCAGGAGCAGAAATGTCTAATACTGTGTTGTGTGATTGCACATGCCAGACCATGTGGTTCTCAATAGGAGCCCAGGAGGAGACATTTCATCCACCTTTCCCCAGGAAGAACCTGCAGGCCAACATTCAAGTAACTCCCCACAATACAAGGATGCTGACTCTCTACAGGGATGTCAAGAATGTAAATTATGTTTTCTCTGCTGAATCTGGAATCATTTGCCTTGGTAAGCTCTTTGAAACACAGTGTAACACAGATACAACAATGGTCAGGAACTTGGAAGGCAAGAAGCACCTTGCAGGCCAATCATACTAAAAACAACAAGTCTCAAACAAGACAGTAGGGCAGTCCTTCAGAGTCCAGCAGAGAAGGAAGCGGGTCACCTCTACTGGCGACAGTGAGTACACTTGCTGCCACAAAAGATGACATGTTTTGACTCCCATGCAAATCCTGAAGAGCTGAACTAAAGATCGGAGGCACTAAAGAGACAAAGCAAGCAGCTTCCTGTAGCCCTGCCTTGTACTTGACCATCAAAAGTTAGTGTTCAAGATGCCCCTTCAGAGGTCGCAGCTGTGTGTTCTGGACTCAGTTTCCATACGTCTCAGAGCGGAAGGGGCTATGCCCTGGCCTGTGGCCTGGATGAGAGGAGCAAGTTGCTCCAGCCTTGGAGGTAGAGGACCATTGCTTTCTTTCCCCGAGTGTGCCTGTGTAAACAGATGGAGGATCCCAGGGAAGATCCAAGCCTCCATGAGGCGAGAATTAACAAAACCGTAGAGAGATCTTTGTAGGGCCTTTATTCAAAGACTGCATGGCTCTTTTTTATTTTAACGTGGTATTTTTACTTCCTCAGCTTTTTCCATGTGCCATCAAATGTTGTAGAGTCATGTGATCTCAAGATTGGAAGGAGTCTGGAAATGGATCCAGCTCAGTCAGACTTTCCAGGACTGTAGCTTTATAGAAGAGTATATTTCCCTCTGTAACACCCCTGGCACTGGCAGATTCAGTGTCTTAAGAAGAACAGATCATCTTTGAACAATTATTTCCTCCAGTAACTGCGATTTCAGTCTGCTGGCCACAGTTCTGTACTTGAGAGTCAGATATGTCAAAACTGGCCCTTCTTCCCTCTTCTGATGTCAGAAGGAGCTATTATTTAACTTTTAATTTTTTTTCAAAGTTTATTAAATTATAAAAGTTTCCATTTCCGCCCCCCTCCCAACACCCTCCCACTCCCCCCACTCCCTCTCCTCCTCCCTCTCCATCCCTAAGAGCAGTCAGGGTTTCCCGCCCTGTGGGAAGTTCCAGTTCCTCCCCCCTCCCTCCAGGTCCAGGAAGGTGAGTGTCCAAACAGACTGG